CTCCAATTCCTATGTGTAGTGTCTATGAAGTGGCAAAAGGAGAGCCTAAGTTCACAAACTGCACTCCTGGATTTACAAACACACTTGACTACATCTTCTTCTCTCCTTCGGACTTGATCAAACCTGTGAGTATCCTCCAATTACCTGACCCGGAATCTCCAGATGTTGTCGGGTTCTTACCGAATAATCATCACCCGAGTGATCATTTACCGATAGGAGCTGAGTTTGAGATCAGTCGGGAATAGAAACTTTTGCTCTTGAGAAAGTTTTTGTCGCACAACTCCATTGATTCACCATGGAAATGAAGCATAACACGTCTAAAAGTTGAAATTTTCATTTCTCATAATTTTTATTTTGGATTTTTTTATAGATGAAAACTTGTCAAATTTCCTTTTATTCAATTCTTTGGTGCACAAGATTTTAAATCGGTCTGATTTTCTCCAACCAACTGAATCAATTTTATCCTTTACGCAAGTTAAATTTTGCAAGCAAAAGGATATCCGAAACAAATTGGAGTATTCGTGATTCGATTTGATTTTGCCACAAATAAAACAGGTTCTGCACGTTTTGAATCTGCATTGAGACCCCTAGTTAAAAGTAAATGAAATAACATTGAAATGACATATCAATATCATGATCTCGTACAAATATGTTGAATAAAGTTTGCAACAATGTTAATCAGTGACTGATCTATGTTATCTATCAACCACTAAAGTTATACACTGTCGCACCAACTTTTTGTGATAATTGTTGAGTACGAACGAATATTCATTTACAGTTTACCAATAATGTGAACCATTGCTAATGAATAAAGTCGTACTCTGGTTTTTTCTTCAAACTTTAATCCAAAATGACAGTGATGTAATGTAATGTTCCAAAAACATATAATGATCATTCCTTTTGAATATATATCACAAACAACCGAATAAAATGATTTTTTTTTCTTTTATAAATAATACCACTCGGCTTATAACTTATAAGCTTCGCTTGACATTTTACATATTGCAAGTGAAAGTGAAAATGTTAGATGTTAGTTTCACCGGAGAGTTTATAGTTAAAGCTTCCGGCGATCATCCTGAGAAAGTTCATAGCCTTTTTCTCTCAAATCTCGACCTTCTTTCCGGCCGTTTTCCGGTGACCTACTTTTACTTCTACTCCAAGCAGCCTCACTTATTATTAACCTTTGATTCCATTGTCAAATCTCTCAAAACATCTCTGGCTGAAACTCTCAACTACTTCTACCCTTTCGCGGGTCAGATTGTTCCCGGCAAAACCACTCAAGAGCCTATGATTATCTGCAACAACAATGGCGCATTGCTCGTCCAAGCCCGAGCAAATATCGATCTCAAAAGTTTGGATTTTTACAATCTCGACACGCTTCTCCAAGCAAAACTGGTTCGGGTTAACCCGGATTTCGCTTTGCAGATTCAAGCAACAGAGTTCGAATGCGGAGGCCTCTCTGTAACATTCACATTCGATCACGCTTTAGGAGATGCGAGCTCTTTTGGGAAATTCCTCACTTCGTGGTCAGAGATATCAAGAAAACAGCCGGTTTCTTGTGTACCAGATCACCGGAGGAATCTCCTCCGGGCACGCTCTCCTCCGCGTTACCACCCTCTCTTAGACAAAACATTCATAAAATGCAACGAGGAAGAGATTAAGAACATACAGATGTCCAAAACGCTAATCAAGCGTCTCTATCACATCGATGCTTCGAGCATAGACGCGTTGCAAGCTCTTGCTACTGTAAAAGGAGAGAGCAGAACAAAGATCGAAGCTTTCTCTGCTTATGTGTGGAAGAAAATGGTGGATGCTATAGAGAGCGGTCATAAAACCTGCAAGATGGGCTGGCTCGTTGACGGTAGAGGAAGACTCGAGACCGTTACCTCTAGCTACATAGGAAACGTTTTGTCTGTAGCCATAGGTGAAGCAACCGTTGAAAATCTGAAGCAAAATCATGTATCAGAGATTGCAAACATAGTGCATAAATCGATAACCGAAGCGACTAATGATACCCATTTCAGAGATCTGATAGATTGGATCGAGAGTCACCGACCTGGACTGATGTTGGCTCGGGTGGTTCTCGGTCAAGAAGGACCAGCTTTGGTATTGTCTTCAGGGCGACGGTTCCCTGTGGCTCAATTGGATTTTGGATTTGGTTCTCCTTTCCTAGGAACTGTATGTTCAACGGTTGAGAAAATAGGAGTTGGTTACCTGAACCAGCGGCCTAGCGCCTGCAATGATGGCTCATGGTCAGTCTCTGCTATTGTGTGGCCCGAACTTGCTGCGGCTTTAGAGTCTGACTCGATCTTTCAGCCAATGTCTGCTAAACATCTTCAGCTCCAGACCTGAAAAAAGGCTCATCTAGCAACAAAAAGGAAGCCCAAAGGAAGAAGTTTTTCAACGTTTTCTTTATTATCTGTAAAACTATGGTTACAATGAGCCAAAACCATGGAGGCTAAGTTTTCTTTTTCACATTTTATGCACTACATGTTACTTCTGCACAGTAAACAAAAACAAAATCAGGGAGCTTTTGCCGGATTTCAGATATTTAATCGGGCAAAGTCTTTTAAGGCTTCTTCAAGTATTTGCTGGCTTCTCCGGAAAAGCTTCTGGAGAATGTTAAAGGAAGCTCGTCATCAACATCACTATGTGTCTCTCTTCTGTTTATCTGGCTATGAGGTCTACGTATTAAGTCTTTTGAACTATCATCTCCATCAGACGATTCCGTGGGTGAGTTTGGTCCGTCTGGTAACTCGCGGTACAAGTGTTTAATAATGAAAAGAGCAGTATCACAATCTCTCCAATAGTTTCTGCAAATTGGAACCAAACCAACCAGGCTTGAGTTATTTTGCTGTAAATGTAAATAATGTGTTTACCAATGAAAAGTTTCACTTACGTATGAGCTCCTATGGCTTGTAGATACGGATGTTCAAAGGTTTTATCCTGCATCACTCAAACAGTCCAGCTATTATTATATGAAAACTAGACAGAACAATAAAAAAATCTAGCAATTAAAGGTTAATAATTAGTTAAGTGGAGATGGATCATAATTTCACCTGGAGCATGTGATCAATTCGACCATCCTGAGTTCCAGTTAACCTCTCGATCATTAAGGAACCATAGGACCTTGCATCCTTTTCGTCATCGGTTTCTTCTATCTCTGTTAAAAAAAAAATTAAAAGTAGATGGATTCACAACTATGCAGATGTCATTTGGAATCAACAGAGGGAAGTGAAAAAAAATTGAATATTTACCATCTAATTTATCTGCGCTTTTTGACTGGCAAATAGTGAGAACTCGCGTCTGCATGAGAATTAAAGAGTTCAACAAACCTGATAAGTCTATTTGTACACTGAATTTGCAGAAGATAACAACTTGATGTCAAAAGTACAACATAGAGAAACCTATTAGAAGAAGGAAACACGCACCCTTACTGAATCAAAATGATTCATTACTCTCTGTGAACGCGCCACAAAGTCCTCTCTGAAATCCTACAGAACAATTACGTAGAGAAAAAACAAATTAGCATCCATGTTGAATGCATTTTCACGATAATATGTCTTAAAGGTAAAGCAGAGGAAAAGAAAGAAACACCAAACCACAAGATTCCTATTACCTGTAATCCAATATGCAACCGCTTGCCACCTCTGTGGTAAGGAATAATAACGGGTCGCTTAGGAAGATATTCTTTGCAGACAAGTGGCTCCACTCTGCATGAAACACAAAGTTCGGTTATGGTGTTTCACACCTGCAAAAAAGCTAGTACTGCCAGCTATAAACAAGCTCGCCATTGTTTGTTTCCAATGAAGACTAACCTATATGCAACAGGATCATAGGGGTGAAAAATGTTGAACATTCGACGACAAGCTGGCATCTCTTCAATAACATTCCCCTCTTCCCAGTAATCTTTTCCCTTACCTAAGGCAAGTTAAAAAGATTTTACATAGGAGAGAACAACACATAGAAGAAAGGAAATAGGAATTGACCCAATTGTCTTTGATTATTTAACCATGGATTACTTGTTCTCAATCACGGTGTCGCATAACTGCTTTATGGGTAAAGCCTACTGAACAAGTATTACCTATACCAAGACGTATATTGCGAAGAGCGAGAAAGACTCCAAGGGGGGACCCAACTGCAAAGAAAGTGTCAACCTGAGCAGAATAATATATAGTTAGGTTGACATCTTTGTCAGTGTGGTTTCCAAATGAGATATAGACATTTAATTCTACGATCCCACACCTTGAACTCGAGCTTTTGATATTTGATATGAGGAGTAAAGCTTGTAGGTGCACTGGCATCTTCATTGGGTGCCTTCTCATTCACGAGCTGCTCACACACTGCAGATGTTTTGGCTTTTTCTGTTTGATAACATCGTATTATATCATCACTATGATGTTACATGAAAGAAGTTTTTAAAGACAACCCGAATATGGGAAAAAGAACTTCTAAAGAGAGAAATCCAGGGTCAGAAACAGTACCGTTTGTCAATATTTTGGCATTTTCTGATTGCAGTTGCGCTACTTTTGACCTCAATGATTTAACCTGGAGTGATAACAAAGTTCATTGGATACATTAATCGCAGATTCTCACCAGAGAATGAAAAGTTAAAAACCAAGTTCTGCTATTTACCTCTTCTCTTAACAACTTGATTGTCTCCTCATTATTCGAATTGTCACATGTTTCATCCCTTGATTGTTCTGAAGAACAAGATGAAGAATCGGACGTGCTATTCTCAGCTCCATCCTGTGAGAAAACAGCACTACTAGAATCATGATGGTCATCTTCCTGGTTGCCTCTTCTTTCCAAAACCATGTTGTCTACAACAGAATCAGAGGTCGATGAAGGAGCTTCCTGGATGACATCCTGATGCTCCAGTACCGTTGATTCTTTCCCCATCTTGTTATCATCTTGACCTCTGATGTCCTCAGTGATATTCACCTGATTAGATTTCTCTGGCTCAATTTTTGATGATGTTTGTTGTGAACTACAAGGCTTGTTCTCAGTAGTTGGTGGAGATTCTTCATCTGGAAAAAATTTCTTGTATATTGAATCCATTGGGAATGGGGATAACAAATTGTGCTGATGACATAAGATGTCATAGGAGAGAACACTCCCCAGAGAATGTCCATAAATGGAAATCTGTGGAATATCCATCAACCAAAACATGAATTTCAATTTATTGCGAGCTTACAGTAGTCACAGGTTCATGAATGAAAAGACTAAACCAGATGGGCACCTTTCCATCATATTCCGGATTTCGCTTTAAGAATTTAAGATACAGTCTATTCAGCTGCTTTGAAACCTGAAAAAATGAAAAGGAGAGAGATCACTTTCCATCTTCATTCTAAACAGATTACCAATTATAACGATATGGAAGATGAATGTAACAATGTCTGGTAAGGATTTAGGCTGTCAAAATTCTAAAATAAATCACAAAGTAGTTTCAAATTGGCACACTTAAGACAAAGAGAGCATCTAATTTGGGGAACTGCAATACCGAATCAATTATAGCTTGACAGTAAATGGGGCTCATGTAGTATAAAACATCATGAACAGTCGCGCTCAACATCTCTCGCAAACGTCTTACACCATCTAAAGTACATTTATCAACTGCAGCTTCACCACTTAGCTTTAAACCTTTTCTCCACTACAATATTAGAGAAAGCAAGAATATGAAGTAAAATCATACAATACAAAGATAAAACAGAAAGGGGTATACATATATATAGCCACCTGGCATGGGATGAAAAGGACTCTTTGAGTGCCGAGCTGATGAGAGGTTAGATGACGTTCACCTAAACTTGCTGTGATTTGACGGAAGTTCCCAACGTCGTCAACAAGGTTAGACTTTTCTACTTTTTGGCCAATACCATGAACCATAAATACAAGATGCCGAACAGGGACCTGGGCACAATAACACAAAAAACCATTCTAAGAAGCTTGAAAATTTTGAGATATTCAGAAATAACTTAACTATAAAGATCAGATACTCTATATGAAAGTGCAGTTCATAGAAAGCGAGTGTACTAAGACATACTTGAGAACAATAGTCATCTATTTGCTCCTCTTTTTGTTGACGTAGTTCTTCCTGAACAGAAGCACAAGAATTATCAATTGATTACAAGAACTTTTAACCAGCGAACAAGAAAAACATGAATGTGAGATTTGATTTCATTTTCAAGTATAGAGTGCGAATGATGGAGTTGAAGAAAATTAACAACAAATCAGAATAGTTTTAAGAACCTGCGTAGGCTTTGAAGAATAGGAGCCAGCATAACCACGTCTCAACTTAATTCCATTTCCAGTATAGCCAACAATGCCAGAGAAACCAGAAGGGTCAACGTTAAGCCACGCTTCCCAGGTATCATCCTCCCCAGTAAATAGAGCATGGAGTCCCTACATTAACAACTTAGGATAATATAATACACTCATTTAGATTCAGCACCATTTTCTTACCCATGAAATCAAACACATACCAGACTGGAGCCCTGCAAATCGATACGAGCTGCAAAAAGCCCAGAGGGTTGAAAACTTCTTCTGCGCCAAACCTGAGTGAGAAAAATCCAAACTAATTGGTCCTATTGTCGTATCATCAACAATATATATGAATAGACTTTTCAGGAATTCTCAACCTTAGAACCATAATGGAAAAAAGCATCAACTGCTTCTAGCTCTCCAAAACCTAGATCATAAAATTGAAATATATTCCAGAGAAAGGCATGTAACCTTGTTACGATATGCAACCTCCAACTGTTCAGCAACAGTTTCTGGAATAGGAAGCCAGTCTACGCCACCTTTACGTGCAAACCAATGGCCTCTAAGCACACGACGATTATCGCCATTCCAGTACACAGGAAAACAATGCCTCCTCACCAAATCCACCTGCAGCATTCCGGTTCCTTGGTCAGAAACATAAACTTTGAATATAAAGACTCCAATGATTCAACAAGTAAAATTTACAGGAAAACCCATAAATAATTCATTAAATCTTTGCAGACAACGGTGATACCTCATATAGTCCACCCTTCACAGGTACACCAACTCTCTCCTCTTCAACTTCATATAGACTAGAGGACACAGAAGGAGTTTCTGAAGAAGATTCGATCGACGGCTTAACCGATTTCTTTTTTCGATCAACTTGTGTTCTCGGTCCTTCGCTACATTCTGCATACTCTTTCCACCAAAGTGACAGCAACTCATCCTCTCTCTATTGCACAAATTTCCCAGGATATAAAACTTCATTCGAATTTTAAAAACCAAACAGACAAGAGTCAAACTTGTCGAAAAGCTTAGAAAAGAAAAAAGAAACAACCTGCAGGAATGATGCCTCAATCGCAAGAGAATCCCTCATACCAAAACGAAAATACTCACTTTTTCCCACTACGTCAGTACGAGGTACTGAAGCAGCTAATTCTGCAGGAAAAAAAAAAACACAAAACACAAAACATCAGAATTTGGATACATACAAACACTAAAGTAAATGGCTTTTTTCCTTTCTTCCAACATATATGTTTCGATGATTCCCTAAACTATGAATGTTTCTATATATATATACGATCCCATTGAAATAAATTACATAAACATTGGAGCTGGAACAAGCCAATAAAAAAAGACTCACCATTTTCAGCTAAAGGAACCTTACAAAAGTACCACCGAACATCACTACCATCTGAAGGACTTGTAGTCTGAGCGAGATACTTTTGTCTACCATAACATTGCTCAATTACATCTTCTAATCTCGCGATATTCGAAGGCGTGTTCTTCAACAAATCCGGAGAGGTTTCATTCAAATCCCCAGAACGTGCTTCCATCTACGTCCTCCACCAAAAAAAAAAAAATCATGAAATCAATCAAATTTGTGAGTACAAGACCGACATAAAAACCCTAATCAATAATGAGAACAAGAACAAAAAGAAGGTTTGGTTTCGAATTTAACAAAAAAACCCTACAGAAACAAAAAAAAAATCTAGATTCTCACTCATACCGAGAACAAAGCAATCTTTCAATAAAACTTGTAAGAATCACGACACAGAGAGAAACAAAAACGACGAAGAAGATTTGCGATGGGAATTTAACAGACACAAGATTTTGGAGAAATTTTGTTTGATGATTGAAAGGCAAATAATCGCGAG